TAGATCCGGCCATGGACACCGAGCCCCAAGCCCCGAGGCCATACCACCCCCCGGCAGAGCCCCGACAGAGCCAGGGCACCCAGGCCCCGCCAGGCAGCAACCAGGGCGGACCGACGTGCACCCCACCACCCAGCCCAGACACCGAGATCCACCAATGCACCGGCGGCAAGGGGGTCCCCCGCCAAAGGGGGGCACGACCGGGGGGAGTGGGCCCCACACCAAACATGGGGCCCAAATTGATCCAAGAGAGGGGGGACCACCAAAAACCCAACCTGAGCAACCAACAGGCACACACAGATAGCCCGACAGAATCTCTGTCGGGCCGACCGCATGCACCATCTACCTGACAGCGACCACAGGCCGGCCCCAGCCCAAGGGGCAGAGCAGCAGGGAGCCACAGCTGAGGAGGGCCGGATCTCACATCAAGAGCTCTGCACCATAGGCCCGGAGACGCCCCAGCACACCACCTACGCACCCCCCCACACATAGCACCCCCACCGCAAATGCCACACAGGAAGACCAGCCAGTGCCCTGATGAGGCGAAGCCACGCCCCCAACCGCCGCCCTACACCACCAATGACCACACGTACACTACCATAGCCGACCCCCCGCCGAAAGCCGGCAGCCACCCCGGTCAAAGTGCCGGCCATCGCAACCAGGAACCTAGATTAAAATAATCGGAACATCCCAGGAGGAACCGAAGCACCGGCCCCATCACTGACCGCCCCCAAGGCCCAAAGCCCACCCACAGCCCAGACCTCAACAATGCGCCCCCCCCCTCCCCTCCATCCCTCCATCCCAGACCCCTAGTGTCACACGGAGAAAGGAGGTGTTTGTGGAAAAAAAAAAAAAATCTATATATGCATAAATAAATTATGAACAGACCAGGTTCCCTTCGGTTCTATTCTGTTCCATTCGGTTCCATTCGGTTCCATTCGGTTCCGTTAGGTTAAGTTAGGTTCTGTTAGGTTCTGTTCAGTTCCATTTGGTTCCGTTCGGTTCTGTTCCGTTCACTTCTGTTAGGTTAGGTTCCATTCGGTTCCGTACAGTTCTGTTAGGTTAAGTTTGGTTCCATTAGGTTCCGTTGGATTCCGTTGGGTTATGTTCTGTTCCGTTCAATTCCGTTCGGTTCTGTTATGTTCCGTTCTGTTCCATTAGGTTCCGTTTGGTTCTGTTTGGTTCTGTTCAGTTCAGTTCGGTTCCGTTCAGTTCTGTTAGGTTAGGTTCTGTTCGGTTCCGTTTGGTTCCATTAGGTTCCGTTCCGATCAGTTCTGTTCCGTTCAGTTCTGTTAGATTAGGTTCCATTCGGTTCCGTTAGGTTCTGTTCGGTTAAGTTAGGTTCCGTTGGGTTACTATCTGTTCCGTTCAGTTCCGTTATGTTCCATTCTGTTCCGTTATGTTCCATTATTTTCCATTCTGTTCCATTAGGTTCCGTTTGGTTCTGTTAGGTTAGGTTCAGTTCGGTTACGTTCGGTTAAGTTAGGTTCTGTTCGGTTCCGTTCGATTCTGTAATGTTCCATTCGGTTCCGTTAGGTTAGGTTCCGTTGGCATCCGTTGGGTTACGTTCTGTTCTGTTCAGTTCCGTTATGTTCCATTCTTTTCCATTAAGTTCCGTTCGATTCCGTTCGATTCCGTTCAGTTCCGTTCGGTTACGTTAGGTTACATTAGGTTCCGTTCGGTTCCGTTAGGTTAGGTTCCGTTCTGTTCCATTAGGTTCCGTTGGGTTCGGTTCTGTTCATTTCTGTTAGGTTAGGTTCCATTCGGTTCTGCTAGTTTCCGTTTGGTTCCGTTCAGTTCCGTTCTGTTCCATTAGGTTCCGTTGGGTTCAGTTCTGTTCAGTTCGGTTCCGTTCTGTTCCGTTCAGTTACAATATGTGCCGTTCCGTTCCATTAGGTTCCGTTCGGTTCCGTTAGGTTAGGTTCAGTTCTGTTCGGTTCGGTTCCGTTCTGTTCGGTTCTGTTCGGTGATGCGTAATTGTTCTATATGCAAGGTGGCATTGAGTACCCCTGCAAAGATATATATATATATATATATATAATGAATACCGATAAGTGATATGAATCATTGAAAAATATTATTATTATTATTATTGCAGCTATTGTTGTTGTTGTTTTTGTTGTTGTTATTATTATCAAACTTGTTCAAACAATTTAGGTTGTATTGTTGTCTGTTTTCATATTGCTCTGTAAAATATTCTCAAAATAAAATACACACAAAAAAATAAAAATAAAATGCAACAAAAGGGAAGTTTCTCTGAGGACCTGTGACAACAGCCACTTTATGACATTTATAACAGAGTTAGTTTTGGTCACAACCTGCTTTACTATAGAACTATTTACAAGTAATGAGCAAGTGTTCTTATTACTGATGGATAAAAATGAAATGACACTGAATCATAGATTTTCTACAAACACAGTTTACCCCATTACTGTCTCAGTCTAAAAGATGAGTTGTTCTATTTGTTGCCCTTTGCCCGTTGGTGTAAAAAAATGAATAAATAAATAAAAAAACTAAAATTACAGACTTGTGCAAATCAGTTGATGTGTCACTGACCCAGCATTGCAGAAATTGCAGATATTCCTTGCCAACATGATAAAATAACATTCCTTGATAAAAATGAGTGCTTACTGCTTCTAGACATAGCACATGTGACATCTAATGGTGATGTATTTGCCAAGGACAGAAAGATTAGTCTTGATTTATGGACAATCTCAAACCATTATGGATTGGTACAACACAGGTGTTCAATCCATTAATGTGAATCTCTCCTATTGTGCTGAAGTTGTGTGTGCCAGATATCCAACACAATGACATGCTAAGAATAAAGTTAGCAAAAAAGCCAAAATCAGATTTTTTCAGTTCTCAGGAGGTAGAACAAAACTTTTATTTGAAAAGACTTCACTGGGTCTTTTTCTTTTTTTTTTCTAAATATTGCGAGCACGTACCGTCCATGTGACCTGCACTGAAGTGGAGCTACGGACTATAGGATTATGCATGTTGACCACAACGTCCCCTAGCTCCTTTTGCACCCGGCGGTGGTCCACTCCTTGTACTGTAGGACTAATGTCTGAGGGAGACAGACATATAACTCAGAACAATAAAGATTGACTTTATATCAATACAGTCTTTTTTTTTTTTTCTTTACCTTGGGTCCGGACTGGCTCAGACATCAGGCTTGGATCTCCCAGTCCTTGACTGTTGACTGCTCTTATGATGAACAAGTAGACTGTGTTGGGTCGAAGGTCCTTGACTGTAAACTCAGTCATCTTCTCATGATCTGCCACAGTTTGCCAGCTGTTACTCACTGATTGACTATGATAGATAAATAAACACATCCAATTAATTGTAATGAAATGCCAAAATGACAGATTGAAATATTTCATACATCACAAAAATAGGTATTCAATAAGATGATTATGTGATCTTAATAAGAAAAGGCAAAATACAATTTGTCTGTCAGCTAAATTGTAAATACCCTAATCCTTAATCTGCCAAATAACTATCACCCAACATTTATAAATCTATTAAACAAAGTTCAGAAAATCCCTGCTAGAAACTATCCAGGCTTGGTTGAATTTTTTTAGAGACACCAACATCTGTTAATGCCATGAAAGTTTGGGTCACTAAAATGTTGCTCGTGGCCACAGGTCACAGACATACCCAAAGGCCTCTATGACATAGGAGGACACTGGGGAGCCCCCCTCTGGCCCTGGTTCCCATGACAACGAGATGCTGCTCTTGGTAACATCTGTGACCTCTGGCTTGGAGGGTGGCCCTGGGAGGGCGCTCGTGTTGTGAGACATGAAGTCCACAAGGTCAGTGGAGTCTGAGGAAACAAGAGGAACTAAATAATTACTGTCAAAGGCAAATATGGTTAAGCAATCCTCTGTTTATAGCAGTTTTAATCTTTCAAACATACCTTTGACGTCCAAGTAGGCACTCCAAGAGGTTTCTCCACTGGAGCTAGTAGCAAGACAGGTGTACAACCCCGAGTCAGACATCTAGTGAAGGAAACACATGTTATGTTCATTCCACCTATGTTTAATGTGCTACATGACAGATTAACTCAAGAGTTGTAGCAAATACAAAATCTGTAATAAATACAAGGACTCAGAAGATGCTGCGCCTATTAAACTACCCTATAAATATTTTCTGCAGAACCGTATCACACATGATACTGCTTTCAGGTTGAGCTTTGTTAAAGTGTTCATCTAAGTGCAACAGCTTTTGTAACTGTGATCCCAGACGGCTTCTACAAGCTCTTGCGTCAGTCTTGGCTTTTGAAGGTTTGCAGCTAGTACTACAGTAAAAATGCATTAACCTCCACTGGCCTGCATTTGGCACGAGAAAATCAGCAGAGTGGATGGGAGGAAGCTTTAATGTTGCCCAATGAAAAAAAAGAGATCCCATTAAAAGCTAACATTAATTTTCGTAATTGATTTCCTCCAATAACGGTCACACGCCATTCCTGAAGCCATCGGCATTACCATCACTGGGGCTGATGCAGGAAATAGGAGATATGACAATGTATTTTATGCAGACAATACCATAAGGAGCAGTGAAACTATCTCTCAAGAGAAAGCAGACACGTGACATAAGAAGGACACTTTGACATCTTGACAAGACACTGTGTGTTGCAGATGCTCCATTATTCCACCTCTTTAAGACTCCTCGAGCCAGTTGCTGCTCTCGAGTCCTTGAATTTAGCTGCTGCCTCAGAGAAGCAGACTAGAAAGGAGCATTTAACGACTCATAAAAATCAATACATGCTATTCATCTTTTAAAAGCAAACTGACTGCACTTGTCCTTTTGAATTACGATCAGCTGACATCATATGACGGGAACAAATTCTGCTTTATACTTTAACGTACGATACAAGATATCAATGCAAAAAAAAACAAAACAATGCTATGTGCTTTTGTCTAAGAGTCAGAGTTACCTGGCACACAAACACTAGTCTTCTTCTGGTTACTAGATGTGGTTTTAGATATGCAGGACGGTTTGCAGGAGATTCGGCAATAACTTAATTGTTAAACAAAGCGCAAGCAATTAATCACCCACTCCTTGTAAATCTTAAATTATGCTAATGTGAAAGTGTTGTTCCTAAAAAATATATCTTAAAAAATCTATCCTGCCAGGCACAAGAACATCAATTTGTGACCAAAACACAAAGATTGGAACAATTCGTTGTCACGTACAGGCTTGTATTTCACTGACATTTCTTGATCTGATAGGCAGAGGTTTTCTCATGACAGACAGTGATCAGCAGATGCTTCATCTAATCACTTTCTAAGTATTTTTTGACAGTGGCTTTTTCCAGATGGTTTATTCGAAGGACTCCAGAGATCATTTTGTGTAGCAAACCATCTGGCGCATCATGTTACAGGACCTGATAGAACAATTGTGAGTGAAACTTGTTTTCTGTAATTATGTTTGCCACTTCAGGCCTGACCAACTGGAAGGAACACTCATTTAAACCTACTGTTCCTCAGCCAAATGCTTGTTAAAAAACAGTTTAACCCAGAGTCAGATTAAATGACGGTTTTGGTCTATTTCCTGTTTATGCCTCTTGTGATTTTTGCCAAAAATAAATTGATAATAAAATGACAATTTAATTGTTGATACCCGGGAGCAGCAACAAATTTTACAAAATGTTTTAAACTGTGATTTTTAATAAGCTGTCTGATGGTTTATTATCAAATATAACAAACAAACACACTTCAATGTGCTTATATTTATTTCTGCTTGACAACATCCTACCCTTGTATTCTGGATTTGAAGGCTGCCATGTTCCAGCAAGGAAAAACGTGAATCTTTTTCTAACAGATTTGCTCCATTCTTCCGCCAGGTGACCGTAGGTTCTGGATCTCCTGAAGCCTGACACCGAAGTAAGGAAACGCCTCCGAGCGCCTGCGTCTGATTGGCTGGGCCCTGTTGGATGATAGGCGGTGGGCGGTCCTTCGAGGCTAAGAACAAAAACCAAGAAACGGGTGCAATTACTTGAACACTTTCGAAACACTGTAATTTTGGTTTCAACAACAACTCTCTTCTCTAGCTAGTTGTCAGAGCTGTGAGAACGGTAGCTGACCTTATCACAAGGTGTTAATTTGCACCTGCAATAATTACATTAGCGGCTGCACGTCCAAGATGTTAGCGTTCAGTTTGATGGATGTGTTGTGAGAGGAAATGACTGTTTTGAAAACCCCGTCCACAGCCAGGCAGTGAACTCATGGCACTGCATCACACCTTTGGGCATTAATTACTTGGTGAGGATTAACAATGCTTTACCTGAGGTGCTAATTACCGTAGCTTCTTTACAACACCTCTCACATTTCGATGCCTGTCCTCCCTCATCCCTGTGACTCACCACTGTACTGCGTTCTCTAGACAGAGCTCTATCTCCCAACCTCCAAAGAACAGGGGCATAATTAAACTCTAAATAGGCCAAACAGCAACAAAAAAAAAATATTCTAAAGCTTTCTCAAAGCATGTCGTATCATCCAGGAAACAGCCTCGGTACTCTGAAACAGTAATTTCTGCAGTGTTGAATCTCTCCAAGCCTTGTAACTATCCCTCGTTTCCAATTTCCCCACCGCTGCTCTCTGTTGTTATCAGGTGTGTCTCCATTCACAACTAGTGTGTATAGCAGGCTCCCCCTGTCTTATCCTTCATCACACCTCCCTTAACATGATGCGTAAAACAGCACCTGAAGCAGAACAGCAGGCATAGGGGCAGAATATTGCGATGCAAGCAGAACCATTTGTGACAGTTGAAGAGGATGAACTGTTTTATCTCTGGAGAAATATAAACAAGATCAACAAGAGTTGACTGATATTAAGAAGAGTTCTACAACACATTAAGTATTTCCATTCTTTGTTTTGTCTTGTGGAGTTAGCGCTTGTTTATATGATGGATCTATGAAAGTTAAATTAAATTTAAAAAATAGGGTCTGGAAAAGCTTTTCCTGAAAATAAGTCACATCACTTGCGGTGAAGTTGTCACTGTCCCGAATGATTTGGGAACTAACAATAAAAATAAAAGTCTTAATATAGAAAAAAAAAAACGTCTTTATGAAATTAAATTGCATCTCTAGCAAGCAAGGCAATAATGCAATGTTCATGTCAGACAAGAAATGTCAGACTAGCACTTAAGTTTGTGCTTTATTCATTTAGATATGGAGCAGTAGCATCATATTTACATCTCAAGCATACGTAGTGTTACATGGTTTAAAAATGTCTAAAAGTTTAAATTATATCAAACCCTTATGCCCTGCTAGATTGAAATGCGTCTAGCAAACATTTTCAGCTTACATCAAAGGACTGGGCAGCTCCTATTGGGATCATCACGTCAGTGGATTTATTGGCGACAGTTTCAAATTTGTGTGGAAAATCATTAGACCACTTTTGCAGCTACTCAGTTCTGTATTCACAACTAGTAAATACAGTATGCTATGGTCAATACACCTTCAAAATAGCAATTTTATCATTTGCAAACTACATATTTTGGGATAGCTGGAGCTTATTCAACAAAATGACACACTTGTTTGCTAATGATAGGCTAGGGGTATTCAACTGGCAGCCCGCGGGCCGGGAGTGGTCAGCAGGTGACTTTAGTCCAGCCCACCAATGAGTTCATAAAACAATATGTATACATATATATAGTTTGTTAGAAGTTTAATCTTGCTGGAGGACTGATCTGACCTACTCCTAATTATAACCTAGTTTGGACCAGATCAGATCAGTCTCAGCTGCTCACAATGAGCGATCCCAGGGTCAACAACTGATAAGGAGTCATTTTTGGTTTTGCTTGCTTCCAACACTTAGATTTGCACATCACCCTATTATTCACAATCAGAAACAGATAAGACCAATGCGGTCACACATAGTCACCCCACTGATACACTCTTGATAGGCTGTGCTCTCCCGAATGTGACGACAAAGCCAAGGGCCAATATAAGCTGGGGCGTTCCGGTAAATGGGGCTTCCGGTTCTGGGTTGCGACGGGTTCGGATGGACACCTCAGTGCTGAGCTTGTAATTTTTCCTGCCTTACCTACATTAAAAGGTAACAATAATTTTGCTCTCTTGATTTAATTGAGTTCGTGTGAGTTTCCTCTCCAACAAAAGTATCAGAAGGGTGCCATGGTTGTTTCTGGGTTTTGGTTCTGTTTATTGCAGTTATGATTAAATGCAACAAAATAAAACACATTTAAAAGGTAACAGATCATTGTAATATTTGGTTTATTTACATAATGACTTTAATTGCTGGACATACGGCCCCTAAGCTGCTGGCTTTCATTAACTGTGGCCCACTGAGCACTTTAGTTGAATAGCCCTGTGATAGACTATTGCTCCAGAAAACAGCATTCATCGAGTTTAAAGAAAATATCCAAGGGTCACATTTAAGGAGTGTTATGGAAAGAGAAAGTAAAAATGGCATTTAAAACTCCACTGGCAAATCCTCTTGTACTCTCCCACTTATGCCAATCTAACAATCTTAAATAATGCTTGAAATGGCACGGTACAAGCCTCCATAACTCCCCTGGGCATCACGCCAACTCTCTATCCATCTTTGTTTACACCCATCTGTCAACAGTATTTCTCCTCTCCTTCATCCTCGACCTAACATTTTGATATTGATCCATCTCTTCTGAGTGACAGAACACAAGTCATTTCCTTACCAAAACCTCGAGAAAAAAAAAAAAAAAACAAAACAAAAAATACACTTGGGCAAATGTTAATTTTGTAATGTGTGGGAGAAAAATCCAAAAAAAAAAATCATGGAGAGAGAGAGACTTAAACACCTCGAGGCTGGCAACCACTGAGCACTTAATGCTGACATTAAAGCTTTGTTAAAAAAAGTGCTAAGTGTCTCTTGATGTAGACAGTTTTATTTTGGACAGTTTCAGGCTTTTACATATTCTGTCACAGGGTAGTGAAAATAAAAGAATAAGTGTGGGTGACTGGCTATTAAAACTTACATATCTTTGTCAGCAGACTATAAATGTGGGCAGATACTGCCATTCAGCGCCTGGCATGGTACAAGCTAATGTGTGTGTGTGCGTGTGTGTGTTTTATAATTATAAAGCCAAGAAGGCTTCATAAAGAAAGCAATATCAACATCAAGTAAACACAAAGTTTATAATAATAGTAGTTATTATGTTGTTATCATTGCAGCATTATTAAACTTTAAGAAAATGTCTTACTTTGTTGGCTTTTACTTATAACTTTACAATGAAACAATGAAAACTAACTTTCCTAAAGGGATATGTTTCATGCACAGCTTTGCATGACATAAATTTAAACTAGTCATTTTATGATGAGAAGGGACACAGTTATAAACATTTTGGTTAAATTTTTTAAAATGATTTCAATGCACAATATCATGCAATATTGCAAGATCTAACCTGATCTGTTATAATTTAAGCTATGTGTTGAGGATAACTTTCAGCTACTACCACACCAAATTTAGCACTGTATCTATAAAACTGCATGAGTTTAAGCCAGTTTTCTATTGTCTATAATTGATGAAACTGTGGCAGCCAACTTAAATTGCATTTACTTTAGAATTTAAGTAATTGTAGATTTAAAGCCGGTTGAGAATTTCATTAAAATCTGTTTTGCCAATGAGTAATTTCAACAGGAAGTCCTTCCTCCCTGCGGCTATTAAGCTTTTCAACTCCTCCGCTTTTCTACACATAGGACAATTAAATTAATCCTGCACCACAACAAACACTTTAATGTTTCTGTCTGCACCTGACCTGTTTTAGACCTTAATGTTGGTATTTTTATATTCTCTGTTTTTTTTTTTTTTTCATATATATATATCTTGTGTGATTCCTTGTGCATGTCTCATTGCACTGAAACTCTGGCACAACAATTTCCTGCGGTATCAAGAAAGTTCTATCTTATCTTATTTTAAAATATTGCACAACATACATTTTTTTTTTGTCTCAGCTAAAGTGGCCATCTTGAATGGAATACATTCAACATATTCAGCTGTAGATGTCTATCTATCTATCTATCTATCTATCTATCTATCTATCTATCTATCTATCTATCTATCTATCTATCTATCTATCTATCTATCTATCTATCTATCTATCTATCTCCATCCATCTATCTATCTATCTATCTATCTATCTATCTATCTACACATATATGTATATTTATATATATATATATATATATATATATATATATATATATA